TAACTCTGTCACCCTCTCCAGCCCCTACACTCCCTCCCTATCTCTGTAACCTCCTCCAGCCCCTACACCCCTCCCTAACTCTGTAACCCCCTCCAGCCCCTACATCCCCTCCCTATCTCTGCAATGACATTTGATGATTGCTGTCATGAAGTTCCTTAGAACATGAATGGCACTATATCAATGCAGGTAGTTTTTGTAATGCAGACCAGCTGACATCTTCACTTCTCTCACACTCACCTCACCAGCCAATTGCCTGAAGAGACTCTTGAACTTTTCATCAATTGCATGTTCAGGTACTTCTTCCTGTTGGAGTCACAGGACAATGATCAAACAGAGTGCAACACGCCCAGAAAAACCCACTCCCCACAACAACTTCCACTCCTCACCCCCCACTCTTCCAATCCATGCCGTTTGATGGCCCTTCACGGTCAAGGGAGCTTTACTCTGTATCTAACCCCGTGCTGTCCCTGTCCTGGAGAGTGTTTGATGGGGGACAGTGTAGAGGGAGCTTTACTCTGTATCTAACCCTGTGCTGTCCCTGTCTTGGGGAGTGTTTGATGGGGGACAGTGTAGAGGGAGCTTTACTCTGTATCTAACCCAGTACTGTGTGTTTGCAGACACGGGTTATAACGACTTGCCCAGTTCCTTCTGCATCAGATTCCAGAAAACAAGCAGAATGGTCTGTAATCCCACCATTTCGATGTCTGCTATCTTACCTCCTGTCCAAGGTCAGCACTGATTTCATCATCGAGTTCTCTGTATTAGACACAGTTAGAAACAGAAACAGCCCTCAGTTTAACAGACCACACACCCGAATACCTCAGGACTCCGCGTTAGGGCCCGACCCTCCACTTCCCTCCATTTATATTCGCCAATCTTTCTTGGAATGTGGGCATTGCTTGTGAGCCCCATTTATTACCCGTCCCTAACTGCCCCTTGCACTCAGCGTCTCGCTCGGCCATTTCTGAGGTAGCCGTGGGGCCAGGTGTCGTGTGTAGGCCTGGTCGGGGAGAAACGGCAGATTTCCTTCCCAAAAGGGATATTAGTGAATCAGATCAGGCGACGGCCTAGTGGGATTATCGCTGCGTTCAGTTTTTCAAGTGTAAAAAGGAATTAAGATTCTAACAATGACCACGAATTCATTAAAAACCCATCTGATCCACTAATGTCCTTCAGGGAAGGAGACTGCCATCCTTACCTGGTCTGCGCCTACACGTGACTCCAGACCCTCAGCAATGTGGTTGGCTCTTAACTGCCCTCTGGGTAATTAGGGATGGGCAATAAATGCCATCCTGTGACAGAGTTCAAAAATAAAGACAGGTTCGTAGAGCCGTGGTTACCGTCGCTGAGGCCAGCTCTCCATTCGAGGATTGTTAAATCGAATTTAGATTTGAATCTGAACCCGTGTCCCCAGAACGTTAGCGCTACCCTCTAGCCCGGCGACACTCACGCTGCAGCGACCGCTGGTAGAGATGTGTAAAGAAAGTGCACAGAAACCATCATTGCAGCCCGTTTCACTGCGATCGAACTTACTCGGAGAGAGAGCGCTTTTCAGAGAAGACCCTCAGGCAGAAGTTGGCCTCTTTGTTGGGTTCGAAGGTCGAGGGGACGATGATGTACTCCCCGGCGGGCAGCTTGAAACGGCTACTGACCTCCCGGAGATTGATGAACATCTCGGAACGAGCTTGGGAGCCATGCGTCAGGAAGAAATCCCGCTTCAGGTGAACAGCGGAGCGTCCAATGTACTGGAACACAGCGGGAGACTTGCATAACCAGGCTGACAGGTAACGGGAAAATCGGCACGTGGAGAAAGAAGTGGGTCCCACTGTGATGCACCCCATTGCCGAACAGCTGGCTGCTAATGGCCACACATTAAGGAGTGCCCGGGGGGATACAACCTCTGGGGGTGCAACCCTCAGAGGGTACAGGAGTTAACGCAAAATTACACCAAAACGTTTCCAACTATCTTAACAAATTCCTCTATTACCCGCTCTACTCCTTCTCCCCTACTCTTTACCCACTCCGACCCCCATCCCCGTGACGCAGGGCCCACTCCTACCCCCCTCCCCCTGACACAGGGCCCACTCCCACCCCCCTCCCCGTGACACAGGGCCCGCTCCAAACCCCTATCCCCGTGACACAGGGCCCGCTCCTACCCCCATCCCCGTGACGCAGGGCCCGCTCCAAACCCCCATCCCCGTGACGCAGGGCCC